TGCAAATCTATCTAGATCCACTTGTTTGGTAAACAAAACAAGTCTCTTCTATAATATCTCTACTAAAAGACAGAAAATATTACTTTACACACTGTATTGTAGATAAATTAAATAAACATTTTCATATTAGTTAATAATATTACTGAAATTAATGAAAAACTGAAAAAATAAATAAATGTACACACATTTATACAAGTAAATAAATAGACTCAATGATGGGCTAAATTCTGCGGATTTCTGTGCACACAGATTTTATGTGGGCCTACTTATAACCTTCTGGTGTTTCTATAAAAAATGTCACATTCTATTGGTGCATATAAATATGCTGCATTTACATCCATCAGGTGAGCAATCAGGGGCAATGCGGTGGCCCATGGATAGCATGTTCGCCTCACAGCAAGAAGGTCACTGGTTTGAGCCTCGGCTGGGTCGGTTGGCATTTCTGTGTGGAGTTTGCATGTCCTCAATGTGTTTGCATGTGTTTGCTCCGGTTTCCCCAAGTCCAAAGACATGTGGTATAGGTGAATTGGGTAAAAGCTCAAATTGACTCTAGTGTGAGTGTGTTTGTGTGTGTGAGTGGATGTTTCCCAGGGATGGGTTGCAGCTGGAAGGGCCTTTGCTGTGTAAAACATGTCCTGGATAAGTTGGCGGCTCATTCCGCTGTGGTGACCCCACATTAATAGAGACTAAGCCGAAAAGAAAATGAATAAATGGTGAACAATCAGATTTTCTTGCACAGCTTTTGCATTAACACTCTTATACTAGTCATGTTAGCAGTTGGAGAAAAAATCTTGTCATAGTTCACACCTTTTTGCTGGCTGTACCATTTGGCAAAATACCATGTTTTGTATTTGTCAGACCATCACTATCTCTCTCAATTGTAAAAAAACAATTTACCCCCTTTTTCTTTGCCTTTAGTTAGGTTGGTAAGAGTAAAGGTTACAATTTCTTTTAACGATTGCATGTCTTCATTCACAGCTTTAACCCATGTGAGCGACAGTTCATGTGTTCATATATACTGTGTCGCTCACATGCTGCAGAGAAGTGTCAAAGTGAGTCTTGCTGACAGCGGCTTGGTAAATGCATTGGTCAAGGCTCACAAAGTTGTCATTTTAAATATAATTATATTACAAATAAATAAAAGTTTTATTATTATTATAAAACTATTATTATTATGCAAATATTTTAAATAAATAACAGAAATCAATCAGCGAAATAAGATCTTATAAAAATATTTTGCATGAATTTTAATTTCACGAGTTTCATGAGAATTCTAGAGAACACAAAATAATAATGTATAGAATTATCCCTGACTCTGACAGCAGTGAAATAATGATAACCCACTTCTAGCCCAAATAAACCTTAAATTTGGTCTTTGTTTCACCAGCAGGTCCTATTGTGCTGAGACTAGATTTTTTTCACAATTTCAGTCCTCATAAAACTTGTTTATGAAACAATCTTTTTATTTTATATCGAAATAAGTCTTTATTTTAGGATTTTTTTTTCTTTATTGGATAGGAAGGATAGCCATGGTGACATTCTTAATTCCAAAAACTTCTGCTTAAAACATGTTTTTTTTTTTTTTTTTGTCATTCTAAAGAGTTTTACAGATTTGTTAATGTTATTCCTAAAAACATCATAGTATTGATCAGAGGTATTCTTTCACACTATTCTGTAATGTTTTCTCTTTCATCTCTGTTTTTGGTCAATTTATGTTTTAGAGATCCAAAATGTAGTAAGTTTTTAAGGAATATTTTTATTCAAAAGCTTAATCCTAATCAGCTCAGACCTCATTTCATTTTTAAAGATTTTAATTCACAGGAATTAGAAAAAATAAGAACAAGTTACATTTCTTACCCAATTCTGCCCAAAATTAAAGAGCTTAAGTTTAAAATGATTACTGATGTGTATCCATCAAAATAATTTCTGAGATTAATATTTGATACTGAGGATAACTTTTGTCAACTTTGGCAAAGTTATACTGAAAACACTGAGCATATTTTCTACAATTGCATATACTCATGTACATGACAGAATGCCTCATGTCAATATCCATGTAAACCTTTTTTTGTTTGCTATAAACTAGTTAAATTTGGTAAAACTTAAGAAAAATTGTACACAGCATTACCTGGTTAATAACCTTTTTAGCTTTATAAAATTTTTCATTCATAAATGAAGTGCTTCAGTAGTCTGTTGAGTACTGGAATTACAACAAACTACTTAAGCTCTCATTCACAATAGTGACACTGGGTTTCCCATACAACAATTTATTTGTAGTAATGTGGGAGTTTTCACATGAACATATATTTAAAGGCAACCAGTCGTGTACAGACAGTTTAATTGTCTTCATGAAGAAAACTTGTCTTCATTTGTTACCCACAACACATCAAGATTTGATCAAGTCAAAATCTCATAATCTGACACAAATCTGATCTGTCGTAACAGGCAAATGGCATTGTGTAGTCTGAACAGGGCTTTAGGGAGTCTGCTTCAGTTGCTCACAGTCATTGCCTTATGGCAAGTTTACACCGCACAAGTTTAGGCGGACTTTCATTCTCCAACAAGTTTAGTGAAACTGCAGACAAAAGCCCAAAACTTGAGGCAAATGGTTGTTTGTTCACACGAGTGAAATCCGACAATGTGAATGATCGAAAACACAATCTAAAGCTATACTTTCACCTGGCACCACATCGCACACCTCCTCTGACTGCGCGCACACCTCACGACGCGGACAAGGCTTTTATACTCACCGCATTCTTTGCTGTGATATTCTTTAAAACGACAGGGGGCGGCCAAAAGAATCTGACCATGAAGTCAGATAAATAAACAAAGTAGTAGAAAATTTCCGGAACTACGTCATATCATTACCATCATTCAAGATTTTTAAGCTAATTATTTTTATTGTGTTTATAAGTTATTTGAATTATTATAAGCATTTTTAGAACCATTCAAGATTTTTTAAATCAAACTTTGATGCATCACTTTCTTTTGTTCATATCTCAGACAGTTTTACCCATTGAAGTTTATTAAAATATTAATGACAAAAGAACATGGGCTGCTCTACAAATATATTTTATTATGGCAAAAATAAAAGCAAAAAAGTACACTGACTAAAAAATACATGTTTTTTTTTTTAGATTTAGCCCACTCCACAATTCACACATTATTGTCTGGCTAGTTTCTGTCCTATACTTATGCTAAAAAGGGAATAATGGTCCAACACTTCTGACCATGATCACAAATAAAGCCTAGAAAAACAGGGCATCAGTGTATTGTAAGCCAATAGGGTCAACTATTCCTTTCCAGTTATCAAAAAAATAATTTGTTCCTTAATTATAGTTTTGATATCAAATTGTTTTAAATTTAAAATTGTAACGTATAAATCAGTGTAAAACCTGCGACTAATGGAAAAACATATTCTGTAATCAGGGCCGGAGTGGGACTCTTTTTCAGCCCTGGAGTTTCAAGCCTCAGACCGGCCCACCTCAGTTCACCACTGACTATATTAAAATAAGGTTATTTCCAATTCAGTTTCTAATTACACTATCACGTCTTTTTTTGAGAAAACAGCTCTTTCAGAACTTCAAATGTTCAACAACCCTTACAGTATTATGTCTTAACAATAAAAATGAAAAAAAAAAAATTGTTACTCAGACAAGGACCAAACCCAGGTTGGCCGCGTCTTTATCTAACCGTACTAACCACTGTACCACAACAGCTGTACGGTGAATGGTGACTTATCTAGTTATATCATCTGCAAGCTATATAACCTGCAGGCTGCATCCTGCTCACGAGGCTACGAGAAAATAGATAAAAAGAGCAGAGCTGCGGTAAAATAATAAGAAGGCTGTGGTCAAGTAAATAAATAAATTATTTTTAAAAAGTGTGACTGCTGAGAGCAACAGATTCTGGAGCTAGGGACACCGGCCCTCGCGGCCAAAAAAAGGATCGGCCCACCGGGAATTCTCCCGGTCCTCCCGATTAGCCAATCCGGGCCTGTCTGTAATTATGTACCTGGGTCTCCACTTTTGCCATGGCCTCTTTGACTTTTAAAGAACATCCTTCAGGTTTTTACAAACTTTTAACAAAAGCTGTCCTCTTTCCCATGGCTGGTGCAATTTCTAGCCAAGAATTATTGGTCATCTGGTGATCTCTATGATCATGGATCATAAGGATGTCTGTGCAGGCGTACGTTTCAGGCAAAGTCTCAAATGCGGCACCATTGCGTACTGTTGCTCAAAGTGATTCATATTCAACTCAAATCATAATCTGGCGCTGCGCGCACTGTTTGCTTGAGTCTCAAAAAAAAAACATACACTCCGCCGGCCGAAATTATGTCGCGTTTACCCAAAGCAAACCTCTGCAAACTCCGCGATGACATCACATTTGCTGCACGCACTCAAGCAAACAAGCGGACGCATCAATTATAAACCAGGCTTAAGCGTGTAGGACAGTGTTCCCTGCATCTCCCTTAACACTTTCTCCTCCCTAATCTTTCTAATTCTATATTCAGAGCCGAAAATTAGTTTGAAGTGTGCAATTTGCACAAAATAAAATAATCAGTTCATAATAACTTGAAACACATATAAAGGTATTCAGCTTTTTATGCAGCCCTGTAGAAACTCTCACAACCTGGCACATCCTCACCCCTCTTCAGTTATTGAGTTTAAATCTTCAGGCGTTCCAAGGGTTTCATTATCAGTAACTTGATATGTATTCAAGAGTTCACACTTGTTTGACATGCTGTCCTGGGAAAGAGCCCCAAGCTCCGCTGGACAAGGCCTCATTTTTGCTCTGCATTGTGAAGCTTCAGGTGAGTGCTGAGACTTCTTTTACATTTAAAGCCCTTTCCACACTCACTGCATCTTAAACGATCCTCTCCTGAGTGAGTCTTCATGTGTTGCTTCATAGAGTCTTTGCGTGTGAAGGTCTTTCCACACCGATCACATGTGAACACTATGGTTCCAGTGTGACCATCCATGTGGTTCATGAGGCTAGCTTTGGTTGTGAAACTCTTTCCACACTGAGCACATGCAAACGGCTTCTCTCCGCTGTGACTTATCATGTGGTGTTTGAGTGAGCCTTTATATGGGAAACTTTTACCACACTCTGTGCATGTGTAAGGTTTCTCTCCAGTGTGGATCCTCATGTGGATGTCAAGGTAGTGCTTTTGAGAAATACTTTTCCAACACTGTGTGCAGGTAAAAATTCTTTCTTCATTGTGTGTTCTCATGTGGATTTTAAGGGTGACATTTTGCTTAAAACTCTTTCCACACTGAGAGCAAGAGTAAGGCTTCTCCCCAGTGTGAATTCTCATGTGCACTGCCAAGTTTCCTGTTTTAGAGAAGCTTTTTCCACAATGTTGGCATGTATACTTCCTCTGCCCAGTGTGAATTCTCTGGTGCGCTGCAAAGTTTCCTGCATGATAGAAGCTTTTTCCACACTGTTGGCATGTGTACGGCCTCTCTCCAGTGTGAATGCTCATGTGGTTTTCAAAGCCTTGTATATAACCAAACCTCTTTCCACACTGTTTGCAGGTGTAAGGTTTCTCTTTAGTGTGAACTCTCATGTGAATATCAAGGTTTGACTTTTTACTGAAACTCTTTCTACACCGTGTACAGCTGTAATTACACATAGACTTGGATTTCCGAGGTCTTCCACGTGATGAAGTCTTTTTAGACAGTGTGGGTTTTTCATCAGTCATTATTACTTGGTGTTTCTCAAACTGCTGTTTCTCTTCCTTTTCATTCTGATGAAGAGTCTCTTCTTTCAGCACCATCAGGTCTTTAAATGAAAAAAAAGTTAACTTTAGTTTGAAGGTTCAAAGCGAGAAGCATGAGATGGATGTTTCACCCAAAAATGAAAATGATAAAAATTACCATTTACTCTCCATCATGCAGTTTTAAACATTTCCTTTCTTCTGGAACACAAAGAAAACTAGAGTTTTTCACAATATCTTTTTTCTGTGTTCAGCTGAATCAAGAAACTCATAAAGGTTTAAAACCACACGAGGAAGAGTAAACGGTGAGGCTATTTTCATTTTGTCGTCAACTATCCCTTTACAGGGTTCCTATAATTAACCCTTTTATTTTTTTAACAAAATGTAAAATAAGTCTTTGGCGTTCCCAGAATGTGTCTGAGGTTTCAGCTCAAAATCAGATCATATACCTTGCAGAATATTTCATTTTGGGGGTCAGAGGAAAACCAAGTTTTTTTGTGCCTGTGGCTTTAAATGCAAATCATCAAATGCACTCGCTCTAGATTATTTGTGTTGTGTTCCCTCATGTACATCTTCCACTCGATTAAAAACATTTGTGACTTGCTTGCAAGTACGCATAATTCACGCTTATATTAGTGAGGCTGCATTATTGTATTTAAATTATGCTATTGCTTCCCAGTACTGGGTTGCAGCTGGAAGGGCATCCGCTGTTTAAAACATATGCTAGATAAGTTGGTGGTTCAATCCGCTGTGGCAACTGCTGATAATTAAAGGTACTGGGCTGAAGGAAAATGAATGAACTTATGCAAATGCTTAATGCCTCGTTTGCTGTTAACTGAAGTGATGAGATGGCAAGATGACATACTTTCCTACTTGTTTTCATTAATTTGTACTTTTTTCTTTGTTTTCTTGCCTTTGTGCATGTCCTGAGGCTTTGCTGAAGACCTACGTGGTGACAATTTATATAGCTGACAATATGCAGAAATGCCAGATAAAAAGGCATTTTTGGATCTTTCCTGCTGGAGATACTGTTGTCCAAAAAAAAACTTAAAACGGAGAAACAACCTTAAATATACCATTTGGCGGTTTTATACATTAAAAATGGTTATCGTTCCATGCCCTAACAGCATAACATTTAAGCATAAACATTTTTAGTAGGGCTGCAACAACAGAACCAATAAAAATCAATTACTAAAAGCGTTGGCAACGAATTTCATAATCGATTCGTTGTGTCGCGGGACACAGAGACATTTGAATGTTTAAAAAAAAAAAAAAACACTTCAGTTCAGCGTGGAGTGAACACGGTCTCTCTCTACTTTTTTACACTGATAATGAGTTCAGCGCCTCAAAGACAGGGATGAGGAGGAAGAGAGATCAGGGTAAATCACTACAAATTCCTACTTATGTTTCAATTTGAAGTGAGGACCATGTTGTTGTCCCTGGTGCTGGTGTTTTACTCGTTATCCAGCGTGACAAGCATGACAAGTTAGTGTTAGCTCATCATATCATCACAATTATGCAGTGTTTTAACTGTCTAATGCTTATTTTATATTTTAGACATGCAAATACACACAAGTACTAGCCCTCTACTGCACGGTGTAACCTTATGGCAACATGATACTTATGTTCATTTCCCTGCCACTATTTCTTTAAGACCAACATATTTTTTTTTTGTTTGAAAGAGAAGACCTTAGTGAAGCCAATGATGTGCCTTGGTTAAGTCACATGACATCCAGTGTTTTTCTGTAGTGCTATTTCTGACAGACTGGCGTTTATTGTGAGTAGTTGCTAAATGCAAATGCAAACGTCAATAAAAACATTTTACATTACATTTTACATTTAGTCATTTAGCAGACGCTTTTATCCAAAGCGACTTACAAATAAGGACAAGGAAGCAATTTACACAAATAAGAGCAACAATGAATAAGGGGTATAGGCAAGTTTCAGGTCTGTAAAGTCTAAGAAGGGAAGTATTAGTAGTATTAGTTTTTTTTTTTTTTTTTTTGATACAGTTAGTGTGATATTCAGAGAGGCAATTGCAGATTAGGAAGTGTAGTGGAGACTAAATAGTTGAGTTTTTAGTCGTTTCTTGAAAGTAGCGAGTGACTCTGCTGTTCTGATGCAGTTAGGGAGTTCATTCCACCAACTGGGCAGATTGAGCGTGAGCGTGAGCGTTCGCGAAAGTGATTTCTTCCCCCTTTGGGATGGAACCACGAGGCGACGTTCATTCACAGAACACAAGTTTCTGGAGGGCACATAGATCTGCAGAAGTGAGCGCAGATAAGAAGGAGCAAGGCCAGAAGTCACTTTGTAGGCAAACATCAGAGCTTTGAATTTGATGCGAGCAGCAACTGGCAGCCAGTGCAAACGGACTAGCAGCGGAGTGACATGTGCTCGTTTAGGTTCATTGAAGACCACTCGTGCTGCTGCATTCTGGAGCAGCTGAAGAGGCTTGATAGAGTTAGCTGGAAGCCCAGCTATTAGAGAGTTGCAGTAATCCAGTTTGGAGAGAACAAGAGCTTGAACAAGGAGTTGAGCTGCATGTTCAGATAAGAAGGGTCGGATCTTTCTGATGTTATAGAGTGCGAATCTGCACGATCGAGCAGTTCTAGAAATGTGGTCAGAGAAGCTTAGTTGGTCATCAATCGTTACTCCAAGGCTTTTCACCATTTTGGATGCAGTAATAGTTGCCCCATTCATCTGGATTGAAAAGTTATGGTGTAGAGTCGAGTTGGCAGAAACTACAAGCATTTCAGTTTTTGCGAGGTTCAGCTGAAGATGATGATCTTTCATCCAGTGTGAAATATCCAACAGGCAGGCTGAGATGCGAGCTGGAACCGAGGGATCATCAGGATGAAAAGAGAGGTATAGCTGGGTATCATCAGCATAGCAGTGGTAGGAGAATCCATGTCTCTGGATGACTGGTCCTGGAGATGATGTGTAGATGGAGAAGAGAAGTGGCCAAAGAACAGAGCCTTGAGGTACCCCAGTGTTTAGATGCTGTAGGTTGGACACCTCTCCCCTTCAAGACACCATGAATGACCTGTCAGTGAGGTAAGATCTGAACCATTGTATAACAGTGCCCGCAACGCCCAGTGACTCAAGCGTATATAGCAGGATCTGGTGGTTGACAGTGTCAAAAGCAGCTGACAAGTCCAGCAAAATGAGGACTGATGATTTAGAGTCTGCTTTAGCCAGTCTGAGATCCTCCACGACCGAGAGCAGGGCAGTCTCAGTTGAGTGGCCTTTCTTAAAGCCGGATTGCTTGTTGTCCATGAGATTGTTTTGAGTAAGAAAGTCCAGGACTTGATTGAACATTACTTTCTCCAGAATCTTGGCCATGAATGGAAGCAGGGATACTGGTCTGTAGTTTTCAAGTAGCGTATGGTCCAGGTTGGGTTTCTTTAGCAGTGGGGTTACCCTAGCCTGCTTAAATGAAGTGGGGAATAAACCAGAGTCAAGAGATGTGTTAATTATGTTAGTCAGTGTTGGTATGACTGCAGGAGAGATGGCTTGCAAGAGATGAGAGGGAATGGGATCGAGTGGACAGGTGGTTGCATGGCTAGATAGCATGAGTTTGGACACCTCAGACTCAGAGAGCTAAGAAAAAGAGGTGAGTGTGTGTGGTGTTGGTGGTGTACCTTGCGTGTTTGTTGTAGGTGCAGCAAATTGAGCACTGATTTTTGCAGTTTTGGTGCAAAAGAATGTAGCAAAGTCATCAGTAGTAAGTGTGGAGGATGCGTGTGGAGGAGGAGGATAGAGGGAGGAAAATGTTTTAAAAAGTAGGCGAGGATTAGTGGCATTGTTGATTTTCAGACGGTAATACGTCTGCTTTGCAGAAGTAACCTCAGCTGAGAAAGAGGACAGAAGAGTTTGGTATGTTAAGAGCTGTGCAGGATTTTTAGTTTTCCGCCAAATTCTCTCTGCAGCCCCAAGTTTTGAGCGATGCTCACGGAGAGCATCCGAGAGCCAGGGTGCAGGAGGACTGGCACGGGCTGGCCTGGATGCAAGAGGACATAATCGGTCTAGACATGATGCTAGTGTGGAGCAGAGTGTATCAGTGGCACTGTTCGTATCAAGTGCAGAGAGTTTGCAAGATGGAGGAAGAGAGTCTGAAACAATGGTGGATAGTCTATTGGGTGAGAGAGATCGTAGGTTTCTGCGAAAGGTAACCAGTGTTGGAGTGTGTGATGGCTCAGGAGTAATGTGGATGTTGAGGGACAGAAGGAAATGATCGGATATTTGTAGTGGAGTTACTATTGTTTGATCAGCGAAGCAGTGTCGTGTGTAAATAAGGTCTAGCTGATTACCTGATTTGTGGGTAGCAGAGGTAGGTGCTCTTTTTAGGTCAAAAGAGGCAAGCAGAGTCTGAAAGTCTGCAGCTTGCGGTTTGTCAACGTAAATGTTGAAGTCACCTAGCACCAACAAGGGAGTGTCAATATTAGAAAAAGATGAGAGAAGAACATCCAGTTCATCTAAGAAGTGACCTAATTTACCTGGTGGGCGGTAGATGACAACCACATTTATGTAGAAGGGGTGGATAATGGTGACTGCATGGAATTCAAAGGATCTGATTGTTGGCAGGAAGGGTATCAGAGTAAATTTCCATTCTTTGGAAATTAGTAGTCCAGTCCCACCCCCTCTCCCTGTCTGACGAGGAGTGTGGGAAAAAGAGAAATTAGCAGAAAGAGTAGCATGTGTAGCAGTGTCCTCCGGCCTCAACCAGGTCTCAGTTAGAGACATGAGATTATAGTCAGAATATGTAGCTATGGAGGTAATAAAATGTGCCTTGTTAACAGCTGATTGACAATTCCAGAGGCCCTCGGAGAGAGAGAGTTGTGAAATAGCAGATACATGTATTGAGCGAAGGTTGTGAGGATTACGCCTGCAGCGTACCTCCCGTGTTTTGCGAGTGTTAGTAACAACAGGAATTAGAAAACACATAATAAAAGTGCACTGACAGCAAGAATAAGTGTAAAGATAAAGTAAAACAAGAAAGTAAAGTACTCAAGTGCTTTGTCGGTGTCTTTGCTCGGTGGAGTTGCGCAGGTAGAGTCGATGGTCT